TATTATCTCCCCTCTGTTTATTATTATTATTTTTATTATTGTTATTATTATAACAATAATAATAATAATGAACCACATAGCAGTTCAAGATATATCAGAACAGTATAGTTATACACAATTTTAATACAGTACTTACAGTAAAAATAGAGATCTTTAAAAATGATGTCAGCAGTTTTGCGAGTTTTAAGCGGGATATTTAAATACCAGATTGTGCCAGCCTAGAGCGGAATTTAGCCACTGGGTTAAAACCCTCTGCCCTTCTTAACTGTGCCATGATCTTTAATGGCCACGTGGTCAGGATGTATAAACTGTATCAATGTCTCATTTGAATGATGACACGTGCTACACCACAGGTCAGCATCCTGGGATACAAGATTAGAAATTTTGGTCTGGGGGCAGAAGTTCACCTACTGTTTTCACCAAAATCACAAGCAGCAGCAACCTGGGTTTCAAAGGAGGTATCCCAGCCCAGTACTGACCAGGCTCCACCGTGCTAATGTCTGAGATCTGACCAGATCAGGCTAAAAACCGGTAAAGCTGATGTCTCAGTAGGAAGGGGGGGGAGACAACAGACCAGTGTTCAGACTCTAGTCTTCATCTTTTTGTCCACACCAGGGTGGACCACTCTCCTGACTTTTGCAGCACACTTGCCTGTAACTGCCTTCTTCCACATACCACAGCCCAGCTACCTTTGGCTTTGCCAGAACACACTCAAGAGCAGCTGTAGAAAAAGTAAGTTAAGCCTTTTATTTTGTTAAATAATAACAGTGCTGCCCCCTCCTGGAAACTTTAATAGAATCCTTTGTCTAGTCATTTTAAAATCCCAAATCCTTTATATATAACCTTTATATAACCTCATTTCTACCTTAAGCAATGGTGGCATTACAAATCCTTTGTTTGCCTTTTTTCTCGTTTTTGCCCGTCTTCTTCCTAGGCCCGAGCTGGCTACAGTGTGACCACATGTCCTTCCTTTTACAGCCAGACTCCTGCGGACAGCTGGGTGGTGTAAAGAGATGCATACTCACTCTGTGCAATTTTGGCCAGGTGCAGGCGATTGACCCAGGAGATCTTGCTGAGGGGGTTGGGGGTATTGAACACCACCATGAAGCTGACGGGCCGTCCCGACCTAGAGAGAAGCACATTGGAAAACGATTTCAGCTAAAAATGTTTTATTGATCTACAGCAAAGTGTGGTATTCTAACTGACCTGGGTAGGCATGCCTTGTTTGACTCTGGCTATAACTAGCTTAGCTATCAAGCTGACTCTGTGAATTTCTCAGACAGCTGGACATGAGAATACACATTCTGTGACTGGTATGAAGGCACTTTTACATTCTGTGGTTAAATACAAGTCCTGTGCTTGTCTTGACATTTATGATAACACGAGATTGGCCAGCGATGTACTTAACTTATAAAAAAGAGCATTGAGAATGATTGTATTTAGAACATAACGGGAGAAGATCCACTTTGTGTTTCTCTGTCCTTGTCTCTAAAAATGGCCTTTCCATTTGAAATAAACGCATTTCAAAACATAATTTGCATTGTGACTTGACGTCTTGCATTTCTGCAAAGGAAGTTCGGACACCGTCTACTGTAGGTCAAAATATTTGTAAATAGATTGGCTGCACACTTGAAGCTATTTTAGGAATGGGTTGGTACTGGTTTGCTGCTGTATGCCAGTGCAGAGATGTGAACACTGGTGAGTCTGTTGTGTTACTTTGTCTCCTGTGCTGCACACTGCTGCCCCTTAGGTTCCACCGAGGTGGATCTCTAGGTTCAAAGTGCACAGTGCTCACTAGTCAACACCATGGTTTGAGGGCAAAACACGCCCAATTTTATATCCTCCTTTAAATTCCAAAGAAGACTAAAAACTACTATCATTGGGAAAAATAACCTTTTTCAAATTAATTTTTCCACATTTGAAGTGTTGTTTTTTATACTCTCTTACAGAAGATCCGGAAAATCAGCTTTGGCTACAGAGCAAAACTCCTTGAGAATTGCCCTGTGTGTTTCTTGCAATCCACTGTTGGCATTTGAAGTGCACTTAAGATGCTGACGCAGGTTATGAAGCTGATGTCATATAGTCATATGCGAGAAAAGGAAAAAGCATATATATTAAAACCAAGTGTCATATTAATACACTGAATGAAGTGCCCATCATACAAGTACTGAAGTCAAAGTAGACAAAATAACTAATGTGGCCTTTTCCCAAGCACAGAGTAGTATAAACATCCTGCAAGTCAATGGTGTCCTTACTTTAATTGCTCAAAAGTGCACATGCATACTAGGCAGCATATTTAGACTGTGGCAAGTCAATTTATTGATTATTACAGTTTCTGTTTATGCATGTAGTAAAAGCATTTACTAAGGATATGCTTTAAATGAAACCAAAAAAAAAACCTCAGGGATCTCAGACTGTTGCCATTTGACCTTGAGCCTAATGGAGTTACCCCAGAAAAGAGTATGCTGAAATGAAGTGTCACCTTTGTGAAGTGTTGCATCTCTCACTCATCCTCAGTGTCCTTTTCCCCAGATTCCCTAGCCAGACCCATAGATTTCTATTAGAGTGTCTAGCTACTCACATCTGCCCATTTGTCACTCTACCTAATGCCGTTACTGCTAAAGAGGCTCTTCGCATCCAGGCAAACGCAGGCAATTCACATTCAGGCATCATTAGAGGGTAATTGACTGGAGAATGGTGCTCGGCAGAGAATGCACTTCTGTCATCCCTGCTCACAGCCTGTTTTGCATTCATTTTACTGCGAGAGAGAGAGATCAAGATGGTCATGTTGCTTATTTAATTTGGTTTCTCAGGAATAATGCATGCTCTCTTCTCCTTCCTCATTCTCTTATCCTGCAACTGAAATACACAGGAAGGGGCTACGTACCAAAGGAGTGAGGATCAGCAATTAGTACCAAGCGAATTCAGAGGACTTCAAATTCCCTGTACGCACAACGTGTACTTGACAAATACAGCGATTCTGATTCTGAGGGGTAGTAGGGGCCTGTAGGTCTGTTGTACAGCAACTCTAAAATCCCACAGTGTGCTAACGAAGGAAAAAGAGACACAATATTTCTCAATAATCCCACTGCATGGAGGAAACATGGGCTATATTATATTGTACAAAAGTAGAAGCTCATGTAATGTCAATGGACAATGCATCAAAAGAATATGCAGACACATTAAATGTTGCCTGTTTCTTCATTCCACAACTCATCTAATTGCATTTTATTTGAGTTTTTTATCTCAGAATGGTTTGATTATTGCAATGATATTAGAGTGTCTCGCAATTGAATGGCGTCACAAGAGATCCTGTATGATGAAAGCATTTTATTTGCCTTTGTCGTGCTTTGGACAATAAAGGTAGGCAGAACAGTGTGGGTTCCAAGATGCTGCCCACTGGTTTTAATCTGTAACTGAGATCTAAACTGCAATCTGTAATTTAATCTGTAACCGATGCTTTAAGAAGAACATGCCAGACATTAAAATAAAGATCTGTTACATCTGCACCTTTTCTGGCAGTTCTACTCTAGTACCAGAGTGTGTCTGGGTTACACCGGAACAGAAGTCTGCAATAAGGAATATTTTGAACTCAACCTAACACAGTGCTAAAATATATTTTGTTAGTGCTTTACAGTTTCATTCAAGTCAAAACTTGCGTCACATTCTGTTAGATTGTTGCTACTTGCAGAAGCCCAAAATGTAACTTTGCTGGGCTTTGCTGGGCATTCCCCCACACAATGATGAGTGATGAAACAGAATGGCATCTGTGAATAGTGCCATTCTCAGCCTCAGTTCTGCTTTGCAGCCTCACAATCCTGAAGGTGAAGTGTTGAAGCATTTGAATGAATTGTGCAAAGTTTACAACTGAGTGGTATAATAATAATAACAGTTAAGTGCAATTGCATAGCAATCATAGACCCTGACAGTTCATAAGAGACCATTTTATTTAGATCACTCAGGCAGCCTATTGTGACTCCCTTCTGCGACGGGCAAATAGAATATTTCCTTTCCTGGCATTTATAACACCAAAGAAGAGCTTTTCATTTCCCTCAGAACATGCACCAAACAGGGGCCGTGAAACCTGTCTGACCTCGGTGAACACTTAGGGCATACAGGGATAAAGCTTTTATACAGGGTTTCATGGCTGGCTTGCTCCAAGTAGGAATTTAAACATGAGGAAGTTAGGTGTTAAACGAATCTTGGCAGGATTTCTTAAACGTTTAATGTCTCTTTTTCATTCTGCAACATGAAGGGCTGGCTTTTCCTTCTTCAAGAAACGGGACAGCGAACCCGATAGAACGACTTTGAGCCCTTGTCTAGAGTCCTCTGGCCTAGCTGGCTGTAGTCTGCTGTGTAAGGAGGAGCACTGTAAGAGGAGGGGAGGCTACCCGAGTGATGGATGAACAAGCGTTTCCCTTTTCCTTCGACAAGCCCTAGCAGACACTCCTTGTATCCATTAATCCTGCCTACTACACCATAATGATCCCACTTTCTTGCTCCATTGCTTCCTAAATGTTAGGAAAAAGTTTGCAGAGTCACTTTCAGTTTTTATAACACTCTTTAATTGTAACAGGCCAGTATCTTTGTATTTTTTTTGTGGAAATTTCTAGTGAGTCCTGGATGCATGCTTGTCCTGCTGTTTTGGGGGCTGCCCATCGTCCAGCCTCAAAGGTTAAATATTCTTAGGCTAAATAAAGAGCACATCAGGGGTGAGGGAAGCATGCGGCTCAATATCTCGGCCCCTGCTGTTCCGAGGCAGGTGAGTGCTGTAACACAAGCCAAGTGCCCTCGTCGAGCGGCTGGTCAGAGCCGCGCTGCGCCCCGCGGTCTGCTGCGTTAACCTCGGGCCAAGACAGGCAGCGGGGGCACCAGCTGCACTGCCACAGTGCCACCTGCTCACCCAACCCAAGGCAAGCACACTGCCACCACATGGCACATCAAGGAGCCCTGAAAGGCAGAAGTAATTAAACTAATAGCAGGATCACTACAGCCCTGCTCATCTCCAGAACACAAAGAGACGTACCGCATCTGCCTGCAGACCTGCTTGTTTATAGAATCAGCTACCTGGTGTTGGTTGACGATTGTCTTCAATTCCCACGTTTCTGCATTTTCAGAGAGGAGAAAGGTCTGCTAGTATAAAGCATGTTTTTCTATTCCCGATAAATTGGGAAGATGTCTAAACTCGAAGAACCTGTATGGCAATCTCATGGCACCAGGCCTGAGCTATGCTGAGACTTGTCACTGAGACAGTTTTTGAAGTTGTTCATGTTTGCTCCTGTGAAAACGGCATCTTCCAATGAACAGATTCAGCCCACGCTTAGAGGCATGGAGGCTTCAAGAATTATGCCAGTTTCGATGGTGTTGTGCATCGCACCTGACTGTGACCGACAGCTGATAGACCAGATTGCGCCTTTGATACTGGTGAATATGTAGTGATTATTTCATGGTATTTGCAAAGACGCTGGCAGCAAAGCCACCGCTAGTTGAGCAGATCTGCTGCCCAGCCTGTTGGAGTCGGATCAGACTGATGTGAACTGCTGCCAGCCACTCGGCTATGTTGGAACCCCTCTGGTTCAGTCTATAAACAATCCTTTTTGGGTGTCCTCTGTTCTACCTTAACCCAGTTCAGGGTATCAGACAGTATCCTGTCTTGTAAGTTGCACACAGCACAAGATCAAACAGCACCATGATTTATAATACTTCATAATATCGCATGTGCTAGGTGGAACATATTTGACTGTTCCAGAAGACAACCCTTAACATGTATATTAACAGCCTGCAGCACCTGGAACTTGACAGGTTTCACCAGAAGCTAAGAGCCCTGACCAAGTCCCTGACATAATCAGCTCGTGACATTGTATATTGCTTCACAGTTCTTGGTTAGTACATTTTAAAGTTTTTCCTTGACTTTCTATTTTAATAATAATTTGCAGTTCAGCATTCAGAAGAAGCAGATCCTTTTGATCCCAGTGCATTAAAAGGTAATGTGCTTTGTATCAGCTAAATCTGTGTGGCCTAACACAATGAATCCATCCTCTCTATAAGGCTAGTTCATCATCAGAACACTAAGGTACAGAGACTATTTACTTTAAGTGTTTGATTACAGACTGTTTAAAGTTATGGATGAGGCACATCTATCAAGAACTACAGTAGATTCTAAAAATTGCAGCATGCATCAAAACAGTCCATTCCAGGTTCAGTATAGGTCAGATTGACTTGTTAAATCCAAAAGTTATTCTTTGTGACTTTTCCAAAGCAGGCACAAAGTTTTCATAATTATCCTGCGTGTGGGCTTGCAACACAGTGGGTCTGATAGTGTGAGCATAGAGACCAGTGTATTGCAAAAACTATACCACCTTGAAACCTAATCTCAGTAGCTAAATCCTGGTCAGCAGCTAGATGAGAGCTTTCTAATGCAACTGTATTTCTTGCTTTAGATTATTGCAATTAGTACTGGCACTAGTGTTGTTAAAGCAGGTGACATTTGTTCATCTTGATAACAGATTCTAAACTCATACCCCAGTATAGCAATAGGGTTGCAGAACATGCTAAACTGGAGGTTAAAGGGTGGTACATATACATTGTAAAATAGATTTCTGTCCGAAGAATGAAAATGAAAGGCCTCATGGCATTTTTCACAGAAGAAGCAGTTATCATGAAAATGACATTGGTTTTTATATGATATGATTTTTAAGGGCTTCTTTTTAGGAATTGAACAATGCATAGATAATTCACAGCATTTGTTACTTTAACAGTTGTAACAACACTGTGCTTTTTGCTTCTTAAAGTGTGTATGTTGTCAGATTCAAAGAGAGTAAAAAGGTTAAAAGAATAGCAAACACAGACTCACAGAGGCAGATTAATCTTTTTAGTCTTAAACAAAGGATGAGACTTAATACAAGTATTTATAAATGTGGTAGACAAAATCAGGTACAGCCACAGCCAGCAAAGAGAGCTATTGGACAGCTAAGGAAACATGAAAGTGTGGCCACAAGTGAGAATTCACAGAAGAGCTGTGAAAGTCTGGAACAAACTACATAACCACATTACTAAGACTGATTCCCAGGGATCACAATAGGGTTGCATAAAATCCTCAATCAGCTATTAGCAACAAAGAAAGTAGTATTTCTGAATGATTTAGGTGAGGCGTTTTTCTGTCATCCCCCAGACACAATCAGGCCCTCAGGATACTCACTTATCAGGTTTGCCTGGAACCAGCAAGCGCAGACGGCACTTGTTAGCACACTGGATCTCATCCTCTTTGATGCGGATGAGCCTCTGTAGGGCCAGACACCAGTCCTGAGCCACTGTTGAGTTCAGGTTCTGCATAGAAACACACCAACATAAGTCTGCAGAAACCTGAAAGCCACCTCCTCTACAGCCAGATTGAGAGGAAGAGAGAGACAGAGTGTTAGAGAATAGAACAAGCGGGGCTTCTGTGCAGCTCAACCGCAAGAGGGGTTTTCTCAAACAACAGCTTGAGATGTTTAGTCCAGTCGTCATTGGTTCACGCTGCCATTATCCGACTGTGACAGGGATTATGAGAGTACGACAGGGTGTGAGAGAAGGAGGTCAGTCTGCCAGCTCACCTGGTAAGAACCCTGCAGTGTGCCAATCAGCTGGGAGACGTCTTCCACCACAGCCAGGTCATGCTGCAGCTCCTGCAGTTCCTGGTAGAGCCTGGGTGGACCCAGGAACACTTTGCCTGCATCACAAGACACAGCAGTCATGTAGAAATCTATTGGAGTTACAGCATCTGCATGGCTATCTTCTTGGGAAAGTCGAGCTTCAACCCCCAGATTTCATTCCTATTGTTACAAGCGCACGTAGTACCTAAGTAGGGAACTGCGTCAGCATGCGTAGGCTGCAAAGGGACAAGTAAAGTTTTATTCCTGCTGAAAAGAGAAGGAAAGAAACACAACGTTTCAGCTGTGGAGCCTTCTTTGGGTGTGACAGGCTGTGGAAGGCTCCACAGCCGAAACATTGTGTTTCTTTTCTTCTCTTTTCAGCATGGAATAAACCTTTACTTGTTCCTTAGTACCTAAGTATGCTGCCTAAGGAATTGAACAGAGTTTGTTAATCTATCAAAAGTTTACATAAAGTGTGCCTTGTAAGATCACAGTAGTTTCATAAGGCAGTAGTGAGCATCTTCCTTATTATATACATAGTGAATGTCTGCCTTTATTTACTGTTGACTTACTGTCTGTGATGACAGACCAGAACAATCATGCTTAAAGTAGTGATATTTTAGTACTGTCACCTTATTGGATGGCTTCTAATCAAGAAAGTTTTGAAGAGCAGTAGGATTTAAAAGAGCATTCCACTTTCAAACTACTGTAGGCCATACTTTCATTGATCTTCGAGAAATTGTGAAAACCTAAATTCATCAGTTAGATGAACTATTAACATTAGTGATCGATACTTGATGGACTGATCCCATTGTTTGTCGAGCTACGGCAGCGCAATTCAATACAGCAAAATGAAGAACGTTTCAAATCACACGGCCACGTTGCTTAGAAAAGGCAGCACGGGGTGTCTCATTAAAAATAAAATGCTTCATCGAATCAAATCGAAGTTCCTTTGTGTGCATTCTCTCTGACCTTACATCCGCCTCATAGGGAATCGATAGCTTGTTTGCTTTCTGCAATTTTTGCTTTCCTGCATTTCGGCAGCGCAAAATGAATTGTGTAATTTAATTGAGACAGGAGATGTGGCTCCTAGGTTATCTTACTATATTTCTATTGACAGATAATAAAGTATGGTCACATGCTATACCATTTACTACAGTCTTCACAGAATGTCTGTTGGTCTTAGAGCTGTAAAAGAGGTAATATCAGCAAAGACGATCCCAAGGATTGTCATCTTCAAGGGGCACCATAACCTTTTAATTTAATGGGATATTTAATGTAGCCAGCAGACACTTGTAATCCATACACTGGAATCAATATCCACTCAATCTGAATACCAAACCTTTCCAAGACCTGTGGGGATCTCTGTCAGAGTTGTATGTTTTATTCTCCATAAATAAATTTGGAAACTTCAGAGTGGTATTTCAGCCACCCAAATTCCTGTGATTTTTAATCTGACGTTTCAATTCCCCCAAAACAGCCTTCACTTGGTCATCTCTAAGGCTGCCACAGGAGTCCAGCCGCCCCCGACTGAGCCAGATAGTTCTTGTACCCGGCAGATACAATCAACAGCTGATAAAGAGCTGTAAAGCAGAGTCTCAGCCTGCACAAACCTATCCTGCACCTGTAAAGAAGGTGCCTGTTAAAGAGTCAAAGTGCTGGGGACTTAGTCACTTTTGCAAACTGCCCCAGGGAAACAAAACACAGCATGTTCTCATGTTCACTCCTCATAAACCTCCAGCTGCAGAAAAGAGCTTTATCTCTGATCTCTACACAAGGCTGAAAATAAGACCACTGAAAAACTGTCATGCTTCTACAACAGCCAAACCAATACAGAGACAAACATACACTGCAGTTGTAAATTCACAGCCATTTAAAATACCTGTTTACAGCCATATTGGCTGGATTATATTTATTTAACCTCTTTACCTCAATAAAACTAGCACTGTGTTACATCCTGTCCTGCATCTATTAGAGCCCCGTCTATGGCACAGAGTGCAGCACTGGAACATTAGGGTGAAAAGCAAGACTGAGAATACAAATCTTATTTAATTTCTTCCAACCCAGTTCCAGACCTTGGGGGAAAGTAAAGAGATCTCTGGAGATTCAAAGCAGACTGTCCTATTTCATCCATGAATTAGGGCACTCAGACCTTCAGGAAATGAAAAATGAGTCCATTTAGGGCAGGAGCTAGGGAGTGTACCATCTGATACTCCGCAGATTGACAGCAGCGACTGAGAGAGCTGTGGCTGTCTCTCCATCTCTATAAATAAACAGCAGAGACGATTCATTCCTGCAGTAAATGGGAGATTCGGACAATTTAGGAAGAAGCGGCATCAGGAACCACTGATTAAAGCTGTTGCCACTGTTGCATAACTAAGCACTGCCTTTTAAGCAGGTCATTACTGCTTTACCGATCCATTGAGAAGGTCTCGTTCTCTGGGTTTTAATGATCCTGTCACTCGGCATAGCCTTTCGATGTTTTCTTATGTGTTCAGCTAAACGCTGCTGCACTAATTCACCTGGCAACCTTAATATTTCTCATAATGCCCAGATTTATGAGCTTATGCTTGAACAGCCTCACAGGGTGTTGATTCCAAGTTGTCTCCTAAAAGGAACAATATGCAAAACACCAGTTTCTTCTGTTTCTTTCATTATTCCGCTTTGTGTAGCAGATAAATACATTTTGCATTTTTCCCCTCACTGATTTACAAATACTAATTATTTTTCATTGGAAGAAGCTGAGATTTCCCTAAGTTTTGGAGCTCAGACAAATGCTGGGGAAAGCATTCTAGTACAGAAGTCTGCTTCTTGGAGCCCAGAACAAGGCCTTGCAGACCTCTTAGCACTCTTGTTTCATAACCCAGGGTCATGGACTCAGTTCTGGCCTTGGGTGCAGGTGTGTGGATGAAGAGCATGTTTCCCATAGTTTAAGAGGGTATTGACTGAGTCCTCTTACCAGCAGCCGTATCACCCTGCAACTCACAGCTGGAAACCCAGTGAAGCTTGGCAGGTGTGAGCCTGGCCAGTACCTGGATGGGAGACTCCTGAGAAAGCTAAGGCTGTTGCTGGAAGAGGTGTTAGTGGGACCAGTAGGGGGCGATCACCCTGCGGTCTGTGTGGGTCCTAATGCCCCAGTAGAAGCGACTGTGACACTATACTGTAAGGTGCTGTCCTTCGGAAGAGGTGTAAAACCAAGGTCCTGACTCTCTGTGGTCATTCAAAATCCCAGGGTTTTTCTCAAATTAGTAGGAGTGTTACCCCGGTGTCCTGGCCAAATTTCCCCCTGGCCTTTACCAATCATGGCCTGCTGATAATCCCCATCTCTGAACTGGCTTCATCGCTTTGCTCTCCTCCCCACTGAGAGCTGGTGTTTGGGGAGCAGACTGGCGCACTCTGGCTGCTGTCCCATCATCATTGGTGGTGGAGGGGAATCCCCATTACCTTTTCTACTACTACTATGCTTTCCATCTAATAACTCCTAATAATTGGGTACTTTAAATTACTAAAAAATGCTACCTTCTTATCTTGGTATGACCAAATGTTTGGAGTTACTTCCTCCTACACCCCATTCGGAGGGTGTGGTATGTCTCAGACTGGCAGACACTTGGTTATATACTTACTATATACAGTATTCCGTGTCCATACATGTGTAGGAGGGCTTTAAATTTAGCTACTCTATAATCAATAAAGAAAATTATCCTTCTCATATCTGTTTTTGGTTCAGTAAGAAGCACATAGTTACGCACTTAAGTCTAAAAGTAATCCACTTTGAATACTTAATGTTATATTTCAAACATAAAAGGACTATTTTCCATTTACAGCTCGATGGGCTTTGTGGGTACCTGGAACACTGGCACTGCCTGGTCTCTTGAAGCCACTGTGTTGAAAGAGGGTTTCTTTGTTCTGGGTAGTGCCCTCTTGCCCAACCTCCACTACCTGCACCAGCAGCAGGGGGGCGCTCCACTTCATGGCATACTTTGGGCCAACTGGAACAAGGCTGCTGAGGTCAGGTTGCCCCCTAGTGAAGAAACAAGGGATATACTAGCGACGTTGGGACAGACGATCTGCTTTCTACAGTGCAGGTTCCAACCCATGCACATAAATGCTGAAAGATACATTTAATCAACATGAAAAGTGTCAGGCATAAAAAATGGAATTTTAAAACCTTCTGATCAATTCCATTAAACATAAGTGTGAGACCCCCAACAGTTATATGGCATCATTACTATTCATGTATTCCCCTAATCAAGAGCTATCAGTGTTCTGATCAGTTCTCCAAGACTTTTAAACTGAGGACAAACTTGGTACCAGGGGAATACAATTGTACAAAATAATGAAACATATTTCAGTGCAGTAATTATTTTTTAAGCTTAAATGAAATGCTTTGAAAGATCACTCACAGTGATTATAAATTAGCTAGGAAAGGTACAAATTACATGCACACTTTTCCTTTTATCCAATGCTCAGTGCCAGTACGTTTCATAGTTGATATCTTTGATGGGGATAAAGAGTGAAGTGGGTATTCTTTTAAGGTAGTGATCTTTCAAGACAGTTCTTCTAAGCATGTAAAGGAGTTATATCTGGGTATCTTGAGAAGCACCACTAAGCATGGTATATACTGTACTGTTCTAACTCGATTTTTGCTTTTGATGTAGAGGTGATATTTTGACACATTATTATCACAAGGCAGTTAGCAGCGGTGGAGGGCCGAGATGTGAAACTGACTTGACATTGATGTTGGCGCAGATGAGCGTGTCGTTGAGGAGGAAGACCTTGCGCTCCTTGGACTTGAGGACCTGCCCCTTGTCTCCGTACACCGTCTCAATCAGCGTCTCGCACAGGATCAGCTGCCTCTGGTCCGAGCTCAGCAGCTGCATGGGGACAGAGACGGACAGCTCATCACTCCACGGCGTGGGATTCTACCGCCGACAGGGTGCCGAAGTGGCTTCAAATTGCTCGGGTCTGGTGTCTTATCGTTCCATCCATCCATCCATCCATCCATCCATCCATCCATCCAGTTCCTAAACAGCTTTTTCCAAGATGGAGTCAAGGGGCAGCCAGTGAGCTACGGCCTCAAGGCAGGGTTACCAAGATCACGGGACGCCAGTCCGTCACAGTGCACACCCACAGATACAAACACATACGCACTCACACCGGGGCCAATTTTCTAAGAAGCCATTTAACCTGCCGGTATGTTTTGGGACTGCGGAAGGAAACCTGGGCACCTGGAGGAAACTAATGTGTGCACAGGGGAAAACACACAAACTCCACTGTGACAGAGTGCTTGTTATTTTTTTCTTTCTTTCTGAACGTGAAATACTCCAATCCTTCCCCCTACCCTTCTGGTATGTTTGAGAGAGTGTATGTGATACGAATGAAGTGTGAATGATACTTACCCTTTTGTTGTTTCCCTAAAAGCACTGCAGTGTTTTCCCCATTTGGAGAATTGTATTGTATTGTTTTGTGTTGCTCAAGATGGCCACCAGTCACCTTTCCTGTTTGTAGTATCACACAAATGATCTTAAAGGGAAAGGTTACTGGTGAGCCATCTAGAAATAACCGATGTAAGGTTAGTTGTTTTGTTTAAGTGAATATATATATCAGTTGCATGACTCTGTTCAAATTTATAAGTTATTCTGGGATGGTTAAATACTTTATTTTGATCAATCTGCCCATTTCTGTTAAGAAAATGTGAGCGAGTCCCTTTAAGAGGATGGTCCTTAGAAGAGGAGGGGCTATAAAAGGGACTGGGAGAGCTCAGTATGGAGGAGGGTGCCTTGGAGGAAAGGTGTGGAGAGTACTCCTGTGAGGGGTTTTTTTTTTGTTATCCTTATTTTTTGGCAATAAATCCAGTTTTGTTTGCATTTGAAGACTGCTGTGTGGAAGTTTCTTTTCTTTTGAGCCAAACCTGGTCACTTGTCCCGGTGACATTCACACAGATGGCACCCCAGGGATGGAACCCTACAGCCCTAGAGATCTGAGGCTGCAAATGCTAACCACTGCAGCACTGTGCTGCCTTGTATTATTTTTAAGAAGCCTAGATCAATGGAGCAGCTCCACAAAAGAGTGAACTCACACGTTACAATGCCTGGCAAAATCGTGCATCCCAAACTTCTGTCCCGCCTGGGTAGTCCGCATGCATAAAAGGTTTTAGCTTTTGAAAGCCCTTTCAGCTCTTGCCTCTAAAAGTAACTGTGTGAGCTTGCCTGCAGCAGGGAGTGAGGCAACTCAGCAAGACTGAGCAGTGAATTTTCTAAGCTCAGGTGAGTGGGCTGGCAAGAACTTCAAGAATTAAGAATGCCGTAAGTAAGCATGTATGAAGCTGTTTCATGAATAGTTCCGAACTATGAGAGAGAAATTTCCACTGGCTGTCCTGGTCCCATTAACCTTTTTCTTAGCAATCCATAAAGTGAGGAAAAGAATATGCAAAAAAAGGACTTTTGCCTATTTAACTGAATCTCAGAGATGAAAAGGGACCTGTAGATTTAACAGGGCTGCCGTAGTTCATTTCCGCTCAAATCAGCTCATGCCAAATCTGTCATTGTTTCTGGGCTTCGCCACTTTCTTTCTCCTACATTCACACTGCCCTCTAGGGGAAATAACAGGCTGAATCACGCGGCACTGAGTATTGCCAAACAGGAAGACGTACCTCTCTGTTAATGCTTCCTGACATTCCCTGATAACTGACAAATCAGCCCCAGTCAAAGCGTCTAGAATTGTTATTATTTCAGTTTTATTTTTAGAATGCTTTTGTGCACCATGGAGCTCCTGTGACAGCGCGCTTTTTCTGCAGTCTTTGGAATGCCCTTTTCTACTGTAGCATGCAGCTGAAATTGACAAACTCATTTCTGAAGGAGTTGAACTTTTTGACAGTTTGTGACCAGTGGGTGAGGGGTGTCCTGCTTCCACTCCCCAGGGGATCTCTGCTACCTGCAGTGCAGAGAAGTCCTCAAATAACATTCTGCTGTCATAAGTGGGGTGGCTCATATAACAGTAAAGGCTATGGGAGTGGCTGACTTGTTGATTGCACCAACAAGATTGTAATTCAACGCAATTCAAGGGTCAAACATTTCCCTTTCCAAAAAAACAACATATCACAAATCAATTCCCTTAACCACATACAAGCACTCACCATTATAGAGAATAACAAATGCATAATGTTGCATTACACAGTGAATAGACAAAGAATATGTGCGTACCACTTCAAAGATACTGTACAAATCTTACTTTCAGTTTGCTACTTTCATTTTTGTTGTCTCATCACAGGATCGACTTATTAATCAATTTCAATTTCTTCGTGGTGAGAGAAGAAACACCAAATCTCCTGGCAAACCATCCAGAGGAGTTCTTGTGTCTCATTCTTTCACTGTGGTCTTCTGGTAACATTACGACTGTGTGTTGAGTAATGGCATATGAAAAGAAATGAACAGAATGAATAGAAATGGATGACATAGGGTTTTTTAAATAAGCAATGATGTTCTTTCAGAATGTCGGCTTGTCTTGCAGAAAGATAACCACTACATTCCCTTTACCAGTTCCTATCAAGATCAAGTGTTGCAGCTGAATTGGTTAGGACAGACTCTACAACATGTCCATTTTGAGCTTAAGCCAATCAGTTTTCGCTCCCGCCAGGATATCACAGTGAGTATGCATGGTGACACACTAAGTCATACTGCTGAAGGACCCAACAAGGAATGGGACAGCTGCTTCTCCAAAAATGTGAAAGACAAAAGAAACGAGCCTAGGAATCCCCACTGAAAGCCCTGTCAAAACCATTTCAAGACTACCACAAACGTTTTGTTTTGAAAAATAACAATGTACTACTGCTGTTTTAACTAAAAAACAGCTGATGTCACGGTGCTGTATTGCATGTTCTTTACTGAGCACTTAATCCTGCAACCATGTTTTAATCACTGCCAAATGATTATCTTTTCCCTGCGAGGGGAAATGTCAATGAAGTAGGGTTGACCAATTAAATGAAATCATGCCTTTAATCTTGACCAAAGCTAGCTGTGTAAAGCAACAAATTTGCCCTCTACAACTCAAAGGCAGTCTTTTCTTTAGCCATCAAACCACAGTCAGTGGTAGATACCAACTCTATACTCCAAAATGGATTATATATAACAATTGAAATTAGTATTGAGCAGATTCCCAGGAATTATAGTTTTTTTTTCTGAACAACACCTCCCAGATTTCTGGATGTGTGTTCTTTTATCTTCATTTTGCATGCAGACACAAATGCAATGTCAGATGTCCAGCAGCCAGAAGTCTTTGAATGGACATTTGAAACCTGTCTTCCTGACTGCCTAGCAGTGTGTGATTCATGTGGAGAACAGACTTTGAACCTGGATCATTGTGATGTGGATATTCTACATTAGAATTGTCCCACAAAGCACCAGTGAGCTAAAGACATTTGATCAAACAGCTGCAATTAAAACAGACACTAAACAAAATCCTAGTTCTAGATATCAGCAATGGTCTTAATCACCTCATCATAAAGGCCTTCCAAAACATTCACGTTTACAATAAAATGTTTCATTTATCTCCTGATTATCTTATTTAAAAATATATTAGGATTTCCTAGAGCACCATTATATTAATGGAAAAATAATGTTCAAAAGCAAGCTCTACTGCACTGTTCAGTCAGGCAGTGATCAGCAGTATTGAATGAGACTAGTAAACAACATTATCCCCAGATGCAGCTTAGTTACAGAACAATGCATATAGCTGATGTACAGTCTATAAAATCTGTTTGTACATAGGCACATACGGTAAGTTGGATTTTATTGAACAAAAACTCAGCATAAGAGGGCAAGCACAATTCTAAATCGTCCGGATCGATACAGGTTAGAGACAAGAGCATTTTTATTCATTCCAACAGGTGAAATCTTTCCTAAAATGAGGACTACAGAAAGAGCAAGAGCATCATTATAGCACCATTTAAGCCAGTGATTTTTCAAAATTATTTTCTCTCCTTGTTGCCGCAAATGAGTCTGTGTTGTGTTGTCTTAAAGCGATTAAAGAACTGCTGGATTAAATGGCTTTGACTACAGCCCTTTCCTTCTTATTTAAACCAACACATTCTGGGCTTATAACCATGATTTTGTGATTTTATTCTTCATCATGGATGAACATGTGTGGTTGATGTGTGAAAGATTTGCTGCAGGGTTACACTGTTTCAGACAGACACACCTGAGCAGGTGAAGGAGAGGGCAGGAAGAGAGGCTAACAGACCTGCCAACGAAAGGACAAGACAGGTGCTCTGATCCACCAACAAACCAACAAGTTCTAGCTGATCAGGCACAAAAGCTGCACTGGTGATCAGACAGAACGACAGAACGACAGAACGACAGAACGACAGAACGACAGAACGACAGAACGACAGAACGACAGAACGACAGAACGACAGAACGACAGAACGACAGCTGCCAGCCAGGTCCAAGCTGCTACCTTGTTGAGGGTGCGGTCACTGATACTCTTGGCCAGCTGCTGGATCTCGGTGATCTGGTCTGCCACGCGTTTCTGCTCGTTGAGCTTCTCCGCCAGTGTCTCCAGTTCAGTGAGGGCCAGCTGCAGATGTAAGCGGTCTGGGTGCCCCTTGGACGTGTTCTTCAGCATGTCCTTCAGAGACACAGAGCGCATGGAGTCCGTGAGAAACTGCCCCCAACTAGCCCCCCTCCTGTACACCAGGCAGATAGGGGGACTCCACCATTGAAATCTGTGGTATTATTTGTATGATCAACTGTTTTATGGCAGTTCGTCTTTTTTAATTTAATTAGGCTGTTAAAATTCAATTTGTATAAAGCACTGTTCATTTTAAAGACATTTTTGTTTTACATCAACCTGTTGCTCTACATTATTCAGAGAGTCTCGGGCACAATTTAGGCACCCTTTACTTGAAATAATATTATTCATTATTTTGTTTTGTTTAATGACTACTATTTCTTAAAACAGCAATAATAATAATATCGTCACAAAGTTATTGAACAGTGACATGTTTGTTCGTCTAAAACTGTGTGTTTAGTTCATGTTCTTCTGAGACCCTTCAGTTAGGGAGACTCATTCAATCTTTCCCACTATGCTGTTTTTTGAGTGAATAAGTATGTTTTTAAGCATCACTCACCAGATTATGTATGAAAAGAAGCACTTTTAAGTCTAATTAATAGAAGAGTGGTGGCTAATTTGTAAATACCCTCTGGAATGACAACTAAACCTACAGAAAATGTGAAGTAAAAGATCGTGTCATTTTATGTAGCTTAATATTTGACTTAATAAAGTGTTTATCTATAAGAACAATCTGGCTCAGACAGCTGAAATATTTGACTGGAGCCTGGTGATGCCCAGTCTGCTGGTGTGTGAGTAACTGATAGCTCCATGTACTGTATATCTGTGCTGTTAATGTCCGTGCGCCGCTGGATGGACCTGCAGCAGAAGGATGAATTGGGGGAATCTCTGGATGGGCTTCACCATCAGGCCATACAGCGTGATCCGGTCAGCACTGGAGGCCTGCTTCTTCTGAGGGACAGGGCAGGTGAGGCAAGAACAACAGCACACACAGCACAGCTCAGCAGAGCACAACTGCGCAAACAGGCAACCTCAGAAAAAAAAACGTCACGTGTCCAACTAGAGAAAAATAAAAAGCTCTAGAAGGTTATATATTTCTCGAAATCATTCAAAACACAAGGCTCTGAAATCACCTCTGCCGAGGAGCATACAAGACCAACGCTCGTCACTGGCACTTGTCTCCTGTCACCTTTATCATGTATTTCTGGATGAGAGAGGATGGACCGTCTGCCAGCTGAGCTGCCTCACCTTAAGAAAATCCAGGAATGCAGGTTTGGAAATGCAAGCCTTTTTAATGAGAGCCATAGCGTTGGTGAAGTTATTGACATAATCGCTGTAGACATCCAGCACCATTGACTTGGAAAACTGAAAAAAGCAACAGGAGAAAATCATTTTATTTTTTAAAAAAGTGCCTACTGTATGCATGTACAGTTTTTATTAGTTGTGTTCCATGCAGATTTGCTTTTAACTTTGACTTCAATGGTCATCCCGGGTTCTGCTGTATTGATACTTTGAGGTACATTACAATACTTTCCGGGTCTGGGGATAGAGAGGTCCAAAGTATATGAATGCATCTTCTACTCCATTCAAAGTGATCAGTACTCCATGTCATGCAATTGGAAGCAGATAACCTCAAAAACACAAAGGAGTTCGCCGACCTGTGCATTCCAATATTTAGCAGAGAAAATACTCATTTAAGAATATCTATTTATTTCACCTGAATGAAACACAGCTTTCAAGATGATGCTGATCATGGCAATTTGGGTGCAAAGGCGGAAGTGAATCAGTAAATCACATTTCCAGACTTGAGAACTGGAAATGAGGAAGTTTCACTATTTCCCCATCTCCTCGCAAATGGCTAGAAGCCAAAATGCAGAGAAGTAGTATTCGATTACGAGCCAGTATGGCATTTAGGCTTTTGGTGATTAATACACCCGTTATAAAATCAATCACGAGATGTTCTGCCTTTCCGATGGAGCTTTGTAACGGGTGCCGAGCATATCAGCCACAGCCGGTCGTATTAACACTCAGACATCTTCATATTGCCGGAGGGAATCAAAAGGAGATCAATGTAATTACACAATATATAAGGTCAAGCAGCATACGATGCCCTTTTAAAGGCTAAACAATGCGTACACAAAATAACTGGGTTAAAACAGCAAATCAATTCATTAGTTCTGTAATTGACTGTGAGAACATAATTCATACAGATGCCTCATTAATGTGGCACCGAGGTAGGATTTATTATCCTCATAATTGAATGCACAATTGAAGTGTGCTGCTGTACTTGCGAGCACCGTACATAAATTACATTCGAGCATTCCTTTTCCAGAGTGCATGGGAGGTGACTGGAGTGGTGCCACTGTCATTCCCTAAACAAATTGAAATGATAGCGACTAAGGGTCATGGGTAACTAGGAATGTCTGCACTAGAAAAAGTGTAACTTTCCTGGAGGACCGGGATGAGGACTTTCAGCCCATCTTACTCATTTGGCTGCTTATTTTTTTATTGGTCTGAAGACCCTCAACCAGCTATTTCTTAAAATCACAGGGAATCATTGTCAACCTTACAACCACACCTGCCCACCCTACCTAAATAGCGGTTCTCAGTCTCAGTCTACACTCCCCACTGAGCACCAAGTGCTCTAAATTCATTTTTAAAACACTGGAAATGCTAGCCCTTCTGAACTACTAGTGGTGCTTTCAATGTATGCTCAGGACGTTGGGAACAGTTTCCTTCGACACAGCTCCTGTTACTCTGAAAGCATTGCCATACATACTGAATATAGTAACCTGTTTATAGTTTGTTAGAATGGGGTGGATGGTTATACTGTAAATTAGTGTAAGCCAGAACATACTGTACAGTACATTAGATTAATTTTAGCAAACATCAAGGCAAAGGGGAATTTTCTTATGGAATCGGCATAAGGGTCTCTTTTTCGCCCTGTTTTCAACCCCGGCAGAAAGAGCTACCACAGTGTCCGAAGGAAGCAGCCTTCCAGAGAGGGCCCTGCGCCCGAGCTCACCGAAGCCACAAAGAGATCCCCGATCTTCTCCGAGGAGTCCCACTCGGCCACCCGCGAAGCCAGCGCGATCTGGAACATGGAGTGGCACTGCAGGATCTCCCGCAGGCGGTAGAAAATGAGGTGGATCTTCCTGGGGCTCAGAAGGCGTGGCTCAGCCTCCAGCAAGGGTTTCTGGTACTCCTGAGTGGACGAGAGTTTGAAGAAACTGAAGGAGTATTCCATGCTGTCTTTCAACAAGAGTGAGAGATTTTAATTACAAATTTTGGCAAAGGAAGGGGAACAGCAATAAGGAAGTGATCAAGGTGGAATGGCATTTTGCAACAAAACAAGATGCTCTCAGTACATACTGTATCCTCCTGTATCCTTCATGGCTTCCATGTGGGACAAATGCATCTATATGGACATTCTTACCTAAATGCTCCTTTTGATCACCTGATGTTTTATGTTAATGCGGACGTTTTTTATTTTCACTTCTGATAACTGCTGTTACGTGAAACTGTGTCCTTTCTCTAAAAGCAATTCAATTTGCATGAAGAATTAGATTCACTTTGTCCCTCCCCTGCATCACTGCAGTCTTGATGTTTAAGATTTTAGCCTATAAAACACACTTCTCCCTATTTATGTGTTTCTTGAACTCATTAGAATGTTTTACATTTACAATATAACCCCTGTGTCTCTATGCCAAAAGCTTCTGCAGCCAAATAAATTAAAAGCTACTGAAGAAGAGAAACATGCCTGAATATATCCCTACTCCATTTTAGTAACCTCTGTTATGGAATGCAAATGAAGCCCTGTCAACACCCAATCAGCTTGTAACCCAAAAGAAAATGACCAATGGTATCGCACTTCAAAGACTCTGGTATGCATGTGCAGCTACAGCATGGTTTTTCTTGAGCCCATTAAAAATCTAAAGGCACTGGGGCTGAGTCCCTGCATTGCCTGACACAAATTAAGTACTGGTTGTTTCAAATCAATTTGAAATGCAAATTATGGTAGAATGGTGTTACTTGATTTTTATTTTACCAAACTCTTAATGGATCTTCTTATTCCAACCCAATCTGGAATCGCAAAATTGTTCACATTTCGGCTCACAGCTGCAACTGATGTCCTGCACAGGGAGAAAAGGGACCACCTACCAGGCCACTTACAGGAGCATTTGACATGCTGCAGGCAGCCAGCAGGAGGGTCAGTGCCAACTGGAGGAGTGGTGAGTCCCTCACTGACATCACTGTAAGCCTGCAGGCAGCTGTAGCTCCTGAGAGGTCAGAGAGCTCTCACCAGCCACCTGCCCTATACACTGAATTACCTAGATAAATGTGTACCACCACTTTGGGAAGCACAGTCAAAGGCAGTATCATAGAACTCAGCCTGTGCTTGGTGCCAGACGTTTTACTGCTTGAGCCACTCAGAAGCCCTAACACCTGGGGGTATAACTTTTCTGAGAAGAAGAGTATAGCGGAAGAACACAACTATGTAAAATAAACATCAAAACCAGTATCACAGCCACAGACCTCCACCATTGGGACTATTTCTTTTTTTTTTGAATGTTTAAAACTAGATGTGTGAACAGTCAACAGAGGAAGTAAGTCTAGTGTGCCTTTCTTTACTGGAAGTATTCTTTGATTGGAAACCTCTGAAGGCTGCGTAGCTCTGGCTACATTCAATTGGCTCACAAGGGGAATTCTGTGTATTTTTAAAGCCCAGACAGCAATGATTCATCAAAGCAAAAGGCAGAAATAAGAAGCAATAATTTTTGCACACACAGAATTAGTTGGATAGCGATAAGAGTGCACCATCAGCAATGAATACCGACGGTGCGTGTTTTTAACAAAAAGGAAATTTTCCTAAATGAACTTTTGCTGCCGTTTAGTCGTAAGCTGTGCCAATTAAGAAGTGAAAGGATTGACGGCAATCATCTATTATTAGTCCTGATTTAGGGGCAGTTTCCATTTGCAGCTGGAGTGAAGACAGCCAGCAGAATTCCAGCAGGAGTAAGTTATAGAAAGGAATTTAATCTACATCTGACAAGAGCGCATATTCTAAAAATAAACTGCTTTAGCAGCACTGGTTGTCACACCATCAACCTTCACTGTGTACTGTGTTCAAGAAGCAGAACTGGGAAATGAATATTTCACAGCACATTACATGCTCCTTTAATATCTTCTGCAGCCATTAACACGGAAACAATTTCTCCCCCTTCAGTAAAACAACTGAACTCTTTTCATTCTGAACAAAACACTACACCTAGCAGAAGATCAAAAGCCACCTAAGGATCACTTTCCATAAGACAAAAAGGGGTTGGTTTTCTCCAGATTCTCCAATTTGCAATGCACACACTGCCCTCACAATGCTCAAAGGCTTGCTGGTGCACATTATGCTTTCAATGTTTATCAGATTTTGCGGTTGCCCAGCAATTTCATGCCTGTTTTGGTTAGAACAAAGCATTGGCTGTTAAAATTAGCACATTAAAGGCCCTTAGATTAGCCCTAGCAGAAGATACCAATATAACAGACGTCCTATACATTTCAGTTGCTACTATTTTTATGTTGCTAAAGTCATTTTTTACCATAATGACATCCTGCAGAAAGATTGTGCATCTGCCCTGCACCTGCACTTTATAAAGCAAAGCAAATATAACTAAGAAGATCAAAATAAGTCAACAGGTAAGGTACAGTACTACATATAGTACATCATCTTGCAGTTTGGTTACAAAACAATGCCCTAATTGGTCTGTTTAGCCTTGTGGTCCTTTTGTCATATTTCACATCAGATGCCTGAATATATGATCATTCCACAGTGCAATTGATTCCTTGCGCTTGCTTATGAGGCCAGCTGTGAATGGGTGGGATCCAGATTGACCACAGACCCACAGACTGACATTCACTTTCTAAAGTGGGACAAGGCAATATACGGCCATAGCCGTGCAAACGCAAGAGATGACAGCAGGAAAACACACCGGAGAACACAGGGGACAGCTGGGCTTCACTCAGTGATTTGACGAAGGCAATTACTACTCTCAGCATTGATTAGGTGCTTTTCTACATTGACCACATCACTCAGAACAGCACATGTACTGTATTGTGATATGTGCACTCTCTGGAGAAAAACAAATGAGGTGCAAATACATACATGGGAGCGTGTACAGCGTTCAGAACTGAGTGAGCAGACTCCATTAAAATTACCAGTGCCGACTAGATTTCATCAACTAGAAATTATGCATTCTGGCATGTACTCTCTTCCATGGAAATGAGGTAGTCATGATCCCATTCAGATGAGCACCACTGTTGCAAACATCCACAGTTTTCAAAATACAACTTATGAAATAGGCCAACAAATGTTATAAGCCCCCTTTATAAGCACCCAATTTTATATGAACCCAAGATTAGGGAATCTGAATATTTTCATGCATGCTGATCGAAAGATAATTTAAGACAGAAGTTTTAAGTTTTGTCAGCAAAGGCTGTGACCAGTGGTCTCTTTTTAGTGTCTAACCTGGAGGATTCTCTTCAGGGACTCGAGGTAGCTACATTCACTCTGGACAATGGATCCCAGGATGTGACGTCGAACAATCTGTGGAAGAACAAGAAAATGAGCTGGTAGATTCTCGCAAGCACAGGTAAGATCTGTTTTATTCTGTATTTGCTACTGGTAAATTGTGAGATTTGTTTTCCTAAATATACAGAAAGTGTTCTTTTCCTAATATTTTGTTCAGACAATTTTTCCTTCTGCTGTGTTTTTCTTCAAATATTGTACCATATATATAAATATTGAACTCGAGAATGTATTTTTTTTACGTTAAACACCCAAAACCAGATATAGTGTTATGGTCGATGCTAATGGTTTCCAGTCTTAGTCCTTGGTAAGCTGGACTACTGGTTTTTGTTGGTTTTTGCTCCACAAGAGTTCTTAATAGAATATTTGAGGCCTTTTTAGGATTGACTTTCAGCTCCTGAAAAGCTGAATGACATCAGTAATTGGTATGAACCTTGTGCTGCTTCGTGTACTATCCTATTCCAATGTGCTGGCTAAAATATAACCAACAGTAAAAACACTGACTCGCTTTGGAAGTTATGTTGTACAGTGTCACTCCCACCCATGTTGCCCGAGACCATCAACCGTTCACCAAATAGAAGCTATTTAGTCAGAACTAAGGGAGTAAACTCTTAATTACCAAACTAAGCATGACATTCTGCGCACTAAGGTGGAAATAATGTACTTTAAGTAGGATATTTTTGAAACCGAGGAGTAAGGGCTGAAATAAGTCAAAACCAGCAAGCAGATCAATTATGGGCACCAATTAGCACTGGCAATTAATGGACCAGCTGGGGAAAAAAACAGCAGACACACAGCAATTAGAAGACTAATATACTCTAGGAAATATGTACAGTGTGCTACTGAATAAGTGTGGGTACATTAGAATGGCACTCAGTACTCAAGGGGAGCAGGGAGGGCAGTTGAGAAACAGACCTGCTGGTTACTCAGGCCCTCTGGCATGGGGGCCAGCTCGGGGGGAGGGTGTTTGCTCTCTGAGAATATGACATCAAGGTATCCCACTTCATCTTCCAAGTCATCTAAAGGAAAAGCAGAGGCACAAAGTGGTAGCCAATGACAACAGCTGCAGTATGGCTTGCTCATTAAAACAGTACAGTTCATAATTCACAACAATACTACAGTTATGTTATAAGGACACCAGGTGATGATGCATACACTGGAAAGGAGTTTGGTGGACTACTGAGTAATTAAGTAATTATACTCTAGTATTTGGAGCTTTTATGTTAAAATATGAAAATATAACATTCTGTCTTCGATATTAACCATTCATATAAATGGAAATGTATTCAGAACTGATTAATGGTCACCCGTATTTGAAACACTAATCTTTTGGCAAGGGTTTCCCATCAAAATGTTATAATCAGACACCCATCTATCCCCAGACAAATTAGACTGGCTTCCTCTACTGTAATTAGTCTGTGTCTTTCGTGTACGTGATGGTTATAGTTTCAGGGAAATAAGCATGAAATATGAAAGTTTTATGGTATCCAAACTACAGTATCTTGTTCAGGTTTCTCCCTATGTCTAACCTCACAGATCCATCACAGTTGTTATATTAGAACTCCAACTAATGTCAAATACCATCCACGCAGATGACCACAGAATGGCGAAAAAGTACATGCGGTGTAATAAATAACTGTGAACAGCAACATCACACATTCTGAAATTCCCCTAACACAAAACATACGTTAAGCAAAAGAAAAGCCCCAAGACTCCTACAGTCCGAATTTGCTTCCATACCTGGACAATCCTTCCTGTGAAGAAAGGACACCTTGCGCATGACAGCTATTTTGGTCTTTTCCAGTCCATCTTTTGTCCCATTTTTGGCCGCTTTCATGAACTGCTGCACCTGTTTCAGAAAGGAGAGGAGGGAGAGAAGGAAGGGAGAGCGTATGTTTCTCCTCCATTATCAGTAACAGAAATCAGCTGTGGTCTTCAACTGTGTTCTCATCACAGCCAGGAATCCAATAGAAAAACAAAAGGCACAACAGCCTTTCCAGAAGGGTTTTTTTGGCAAAAATCAATGTGCTAAGATTAGAAAATAATCACGTTTTGAGCAAAGCAGAGTCCATATCCGCACAGCACAGGTCTGTGCACAATAGCATGTGGCCTTTACGCTGCGTCTGATCGATCTCTGCTAGGTGTTCCAATAGCCCTGTATGGAGCACCTTCTTCAGCCAGCAGTAAAAAAAAAAATAGAAAAAGAAATTAACTTTAAAATCTGCCTCTTCATGAATACGGCACTTTAATCCGAGCCCTTTGGCCATCTTGTGTATTTTTTTCCGTGTCGCTGTTTTTTTTCCTGATAAACAGCAAGCGACACCCTAAAAGGAGTCACCTTTCACACACTGTACCACAGTGTGTCCATCTCACATATTGAGGGTGAAGGTTTTGGAACCAGCAACAGTGGTTTTTTAAGTGACTGACAGAAGAGACACGCGCGTACAAGAACCCACAGGGCATTTTACATCCCACTGTTTTAAACATTCCCCTATGTGTGCTGCTCGCACTCACTCACACAGCCTTCTTTAGCAGCTTTGACTGCAAGTTTGTAATCTTGTTTCTCTGAAGAGACCAGAGTATCGGAACTAAAAGTCACCGAGCATCCACATTTCCATGCATTATTAGGGCATTTCGACTGCATGGTAACCTGCTTGTTCATGAGCTGAGTCAGTTCCACAGTGCTACAGTATGTTACACTGCTAATCTCGAATTGCCCCCTTGGGGATAAATGAAGTATTTTGAGTTAAGTAACATTTTGCCCTCACTGTCCTGACATTTTACACAGTACAACATTTAGCTAGAGCAGTGACCTCCAGTCCTGGTCTTGGTAACCCACACACCTGATGGGATTCATTCCCCCCAATTTCATTAGATAACTGAAGCCTTACTTCATCTACGAACCTGCGTCACTGGAATATTTATTTTTGTTTTCTAGGCACATGTTCGGGATTTTATTTTACTTACAAAATAAAACGGTTAAAGCACCAACATGTTTAAGAGCTGAGAACAAACAGTTCAAACTAATCTTGTGGTTGTTACGTCAATGAAGGGTTTTACTGTGTCACTGAGGGTTCAGCTGGAACAAACACCAACACGTGAGTGGGTCACCAGGGCCAGGACTGGGAACCACTAAACTAGAGACTCGTACCATGGTCCTGGAGAGCTACTGTACCTTCTGGTTTCTATCTCTATATTGAAACAATTCTTGATATAATGTCATCCTGCCAACCTGATCTAAAACCAAAGGCTGAGATCAAGAATTAAACAT